TATATATATATATATATATACGACTTCAGTTGATACTATACTTTTCATCTAAAATTTTAATTAATTTAGATTTGTAGATTTTTTTTAATCTGAAAGGCAGTGATCAGACAGAGTCTGACAAGTTGAATTCATGATTCCAACTTGCCCACGTATCTGTAAAAATAAACCAACCAAGTCCTATATATCCTTTTTGACCAACAGCACAAAAGCCAAATCAACTGGGAAAGGAAACTCCAAATTCCCTCACAATGGAATTCCCAGCATCTCACTCCCTTCCCTGGCAATACTGCATCTCTTCTCACCTTCTCTTTCCCTACAATTTCACCCCTCAAAACTATGTCCACTGGACAGAAACCCCTCAGTCTCACATTTTTTCAGCTGACATCCCTGGTAAGCACCTTAATTACCCGTGCCAAAACATTACTAAATAAACTCCTTTCCCTTACTCGTGTGTTCCTTTTCTTTCTTTCCAATTATGGTAAAGGATTTTTATATTACTGAATATAAACAAATTTATTTAACTTTTCAAAAGGAGTTCTATCAGAGGAAATGCACACTTACCACCAAGAAGGAAGCAGAAATTCTGACAAAAACTCTAGTATCAGAATTTGTGGTCACAATTTCTTTCTGGGTGCCTCGAGTGTATGTTTCCTTTGACAATGTCCGAGGCACACCAACAATATTTTGTAATAGGTTATAGGTGAAAATTAAATTCTTTTGGCTTTTCTCATAATTTGCATCAAGATATTTGAACTGGGTTTGTTTATTTGATGTTTGGTTGTCATGGTAGGTGTGAGAAAAGAGGAGCTGAGAGTGGAGGTTGAGGATTCAAGGTACCTCATAATCAGAACTGAAGCAGTGGATGAATCCACAGAACCTGCAAGGAAGTTTGAGAGGAAGTTTAGGCTGCCTGGGAGGGTTGATCTCGATGGCATCTCTGCTAGGTATGAAGATGGAGTTTTAACTGTTACAGTTCCGAGATCAATTAGAAGAGGTTTCTACATCGACCCTGCTGATGTGTCTGAGAATTTGGAAGTTCTAGCCAAAGCAGCTTGAATGAACGAATGAATGAAGAAGGGTTCTTGTTCTAATTAGGAAGCTACACTGTTTAGTGCATGTGATTGGTTTCTTCTTGATGAAACATTGGTTATGTTGATTTTGCATGATTTAGGCCATATTCCTCTTATCTCAGTGGCTATTGTGTACAAAAATGGTGAGTTATGATCCATTTGTTCTCTGTTGTTTTCAAATGTGACAACCAAGATTTTAAGTCGCAGATATTTAGCTATCTTTTATAGCAAACTTACGACACGTTCCTACTTGACCTAACATAGAAAAAGATAGATTGGACACTAAATGTTACTCCAAAGTGTCTGTGTTGTGGATAACTAATAACAGAAAAGATCTTCCACAAATCCAAACAGGCCCAAGTGGAGGCAGATATTTTTGGGTCCCCTAATCGATATTGTATCTTTATCAAGTTGTATTGTGAGGAAACTGTGGAATATGTTCATGTCCCACTCCCACTGGGAAAAGAATCACATCCACGTGATCAGACTGAGCATCAAAGCAAATGAAGTAGGAGCATTTAAGTACAACTTGCCTTAATATATGGCGACATAATAAAACACTTATGACTCAAATCATGTCTTGATAAACAAATGTTTTCCAGCTGCATGTTGCCAACTTACCTCCTCAGACTGAAAGACCACATGAATCATTAACATCATGACATAGGTTTTCTTCATTCATTGTTTGCCCGTCAATAGTAACGGTTAAGATTTGTGCTATACTAGTAATTCTACCCATCAATGGGGACGTTGTTTTCTCTGTGTGTCCGGTAGCATGCTTTTCTTTTTCAAGTTTTTCGTGTTACAGATTTATTTCTTCCACTATTATTATTATTATAGCTAATATAACATCCCAAAATATAGTGATAAACCATGTTATAATAGTCACAAAATAATATGATAGAACAATTATAGACTAGTAAATAAAGTATTAACTTTACAGTTATCCAAAATAACTATAAAATTTAAAACTTTATATACAAGCGAGTATTTCAAAATTTATCACCAAAATAAACATTTTAACTACACTAAGCAATTGCATCCTCGTCCTCCAAAGCTTGTTCTATAAGCACTTCACCTCCCTCTGCTCACACCCAAAGGATGATCATTGCAAAGAAAGAACACTAAACATACAAAACACAATCACAAACAAAAGGGTAAGCTAGATATAAAAGAACTCATACAATTACCTAAGATACAACCTACTCAAGATTTAATCAAACAAGATAAACCATCTCAAACATACTAACATGTTATAACCTAGACTTGACTATCCGGACTTAAAATGAATACCGAACTATGGCGAGTTGTGCACTTGTGGTGGCCTCTATTGCTTTGCAAAGCCATTACCATGGGTTTCACCCTACCACACACACAAGGTTAGTCTGTTACCGCGCAATAGGCCTTACACTAGGACCTCCTACTACTCTCACCACATGAATCAATTCTCTCTATGTGAGAATGAAAGGTCATTAGAGTGTTAGGATAACCCCCAATACTGAGCTCCATGTATTCATTCTACACATATTTGTATCTCACCGAGAGATTTCACTTTGAAACTCACTTATACCACATTGAAATCATATTTTCCTTCACTATGAATTCCAATTCATACCTTTGATACTCATATAATTCAATACACATTCATACATAACATTCAATGAATTAGATCATCATTCAAAC